GCCCGACGGGAGCTCGCCTCTCAGCACCCAGTTGTAGCCGATGTTCCACAGGAGCGGTCCCAAGACCGATCCCTGCGGAACATCGCACGACATGACGCGTCGACCAGCGCTGTCACGTCCCCAATACGTGACGCATCTCTCCTCAAGGTAGGCCCCTATTGTGCGGCGGAGTTAGGGAGGCACGCGATGGTAATTAAGCGCCTCCCGAATACAACTCCAGGGGTAGGGTGTTGAAGGCGTTGGAGATGTCTAATGACACCGCCAGCACCACCCCACCCCGGGATACTGTCTCCTCCGCCAGGGCCCTCACGCGCGTAATAGTGTCTATGGTGGAGCGCCCGCGACGAAAACCAAACTGGTTCTCGTCCAGGTCTGGCCCCACTCTGCACAAGTGGCTGACGAGGCGATCTGCGATGATACGCTCAAGAAGTTTGCCCGCCTCGTCGAGCAGCACTATGGGCCGGTACGCGGACGGTGAGTCCGCGGGGCGCCCCTCCTTCCTAAGTAGGACCAGCCTTCCCTCCTTCCACACACTGGGAAGCTGACCCTGCTCGAGACATGCCGTGAAGAGCCCCCCTCAGCTGGGGCTCCAGCTCCTTCAGAGCCAGGACGAGAGCTCGACCAGGAACTCCGTCGGGTCCGGGCGCTGTGTTCTTGGCCCGAAGTCGCGCCATGGCCGCTCTCATCTCTGCTTGCGTCACCTTGGGGACATCGGTGCTCTCCTCCTCTGGAGAGTCTGTGGCTGAGGGCGAAGCCATCGCCGGGGGAACGTGTCCCACTCGTTCAGGGAAGAGAACTGATACCACCGTCTCTAGCAACTGGGGTTGCATTGTTTGCGTTAGTGGAGGCGCCCAGGAACGCAACTCGCCCCGTACCCAACGGTAGGGGCGCCCCCACGGATCCCGATCTAGGGACCCCAACCTAACCTAACCTAACCTAACCTAACCTACCCTAACCTAAACTTTTTTTTTTAACATGGGGAAATGCTTACGCATACCCGCCTCGCGGGGGCAAGGACGGGTTATGTCGGACTCGCACCGACTAAAACCCCATGGTGTTCAACCTTCGTCGCATATTGGCAGGGCTACGGGAACGCTTTCGCACACTTCCGCGGCCCTACCAGCGACTGCCGCCCCATGGCAGCACTTCCTCGGGAGAGGAATATTCCTCCCCGTTCTCCTTCCCAGGCAAGGCGCACCAGAACACATGGCACGCCTTCCTCCACGGCCTCCAATTGCATCTGCGCAACAGACGCCCCCGCGTCCAATGCGCGAAGGCCATGGGGCCAGGAAAAACGAGCACTTAGAAGTACTAGCCTTACCGACCCCAGCGGCGGATCTGGTCTATGGCTCCGCCGTCAACCAAGATTCGGCTGCGGAGGATAGGGAGAGCGGCGCCTCGCAATACCGACAATCCTCTCCCCCCGCAGCCCCATCACCACCGCATCAACGGTGCGGCCCCGTTTGAGTCGCGGAGGATAGGGCGAGTGGCGCATCGCCATAGCAACACTCCTCTTCCTCCGCGACTCCACCTCGGCTGCAGCGGTAGAGGGTGCGGAGTCCCCACTCGCTGCAGTCCACCAGCACGCATCCGAAGTGGGCTCCCCAAGCCCACTCGGAGTGGCCACCTCAGGCCGGCCCTTCACCTCGGGCCAGCCACGTGGGTTCCTCTTTGTTCACCGTGGGAGACCAAGCCACGGCTACTAAGCCCCCCGCCACGACAACGCGGGAACCCGTTCGCGGGGGAACCTAACCTAACCTAACCTAACCTAACCTAACCTTTTTTTTTTAACATGGGGAAATGCCTACGCATACCCGCCTCGCGGGGGGCAAGGACGGGTTATGTCGGACTCGCACCGACTAAAACCCCATGGTGTTCCACCTTCGTCGCATATTGGCAGGGCTACGGGAACGCTTTCGCACACATCCGCGGCCCCACCAGCGACTGCCGCCCCATGGCAGCACCTCATCGGGAGAGGAATATTCCTCCCCGTTCTCCTTCCCAAGTAAGGCGCACCAGTACACATGGCACGCCTTCCTCCACGGCCTCCAACTACATCTCCGCAACAGACGCCCCCCGCGTCCGATGCGCGAAGGCCATGGGGCCAGGAAAAACGAGCACTTAGAAGTACTAGCCTTCCCGACCCCAGCGGCGGATCTGGTCTATGGCTCCGCCGCCAACCAAGATTCGGCTGCGGAGGATAGGGAGAGCGGCGCCTCGCAATACCGACAATCTTCTCCCCCCGCAGCCCCATCACCACCCCATCAACGGTGCGGCCCCGTTTGAGTCGCGGAGGATAGGGCGAGTGGCGCATCGCCATACCAACACTCCTCTTCCTCCACGACTCCACCTCGGCTGCAGCGGTAGGTGGGGAGGACACACCTCTCACCGCAGTCCACCAACACACATCCGAAGTGGGCTTCCCAAGCCCACTCGGGAGTAGCCACCTCGGGCCGGCCCTCCACCTCGGACCAGCCATATGGGTTCCTCTTTGTTTCGCCGTGGGTGACCAAGCCGCGGCTTATAAGCCCCCCGCCACGACAAGGCGGTAACCCGTTCGGGGGGGAACCTAACCTAACCTAACCTAACCTTTTTTTTTTTTTACGGGGGGGAAATCCTCATGGACTGCCTTTGCCTGGTGTCAGGCGGAGGGGTGTGCCGGACTCTTACCGGCTAAAACCACCCCGGTGTCTCCTCGCACGTGCACGCGCGGGGCCGCGGGAATCCAAATTCTTCCGCAGCCCCACACTAGTGCTAGCCCGGTCTGTACGAGCCTCGTCTCCTGCACGGGGTAGTGAGGTGTTCAACTAACCCCTGTATCACCTCAGAGGCACGCGCCGACACCCACGCGTGCCTCCGCCTCGGGTCCATCGAATAGGGGGCGGGGGGCTTCCCCTAGTCCCTCGCCCCTGGACTTATTCATGGGGGCTGGAAAAGGGCGTTGTCCGCCCTTCTCCTGCGCCCGGTGCGCCTTCTGCGGCCAGGGAAGGGGAGTCGAGATCTCCCTCTCCCGTTCCGCAGTTTCCTTCTGCGACATCACGTCCTCACAGAAGGACACCACTGCATCCCACGATTCTGCGCTACCGACCATACTCCGCACCAAGGCCGACAGCGACAAATCGCCTCCTACTACATTTGTGAGGACACGGCGCTGCTCCTCCCAAGCTACACACTCGGCGAGCGTGTGTTGCGCCGAGTCCTCCCCGCAATGGACGCAGTGGTGGCACCGAGCGTCCGGCTCCCCTGTCTATGCGGCACAGGTACTTGCCAAAGCAGCCGTGCCCCCGACAGCACCTGCGTCACCCTAAACGACAGGGAGCCGTGCCTTCTCCCGAGCCAGTCGTCGAGTACTGGCCGGATCGCCTCGACGATAGCGAGGCCGGCGGTGGGGCGCAGAAGCCTTTGCCGCCATTCCGCCACCAAGACCTGACGGAGCTCCTCTCGGCGCAGCGCGATCTGTCTCTGCACCGGCCTCGAGCCCCGTCCCCGCTCTTCCTCGCGCCATCGATATAGTGACGCGAGTACTTTCGCCTCTAAGTCCCAGGGCGGGGGATCCGGCCAGGACGCAAGCCGCCTCGTAACCTAACCTAACCTAACCTAACGTAACCTAACCTAACCTAACCCAGTATACCTCGAAATCTCAACATAGAAGCATCTGCTCCGCGAAAAAAAAATACAATAAAATTAGTAAAAGTATCGGAAAGTGGTTAAAAGTTATAAATTCTAAAAGTGCTTAGTGCAGTTCACAAGTGTAATTGAAATCAACTCTCCATTCAACCAGGTTCCGGAACAACAAGCTACCAAATTTGGGCCCCTCCCCAGCGGCCGTTAAACAAGGTACATATTTTCTAATAAAGTGATTGCGTAGCTTGTCGTAAGATCTATTAAACTGCGCAAAAATCATTAAAATCTTCCAAAAAGTGAAGAAGTTATAACCAATTGAATCTTAATGAAACCACGTGCTAAATAACCTACAAACCACGTGATTGCTACCACCACGTGGTCGCAAGAAGCAAAGACGATATTAATAGGGCTCCAAAACCAACTCGAAGACAGCCGGACAAAAAAAAAAGAAAAAAGAAAAATATCAGCATCTTGACCCCCCCCCCTCACCAATTGAACTTACCTTATTTGAACGACACACCAAAGGTCGGTAACCCCCCCCCCCCGCTCAAGCACATATCCCCCAGCAAAATACCCCTCAGCCTCTAACTCTTGTACGGTGCACCGTAGATCAACGAGCTACGGCTCATTAAAATCAGGGGAAAATTCTCTATTATTTGGCTCTGTCACATTTTCTAAAGAAAAAAAAAATCGTAGCTTCCCGTCACAACATACCCCTTTTAACAGCAACTTTCCCCCTACTGCACTGAAAACGGAAGTACCGAAAACTGAAGATTCGTCTCAGGGTCCTCACACAGCATAAACATCAGCAGCGTCAGTAGCAGTAGTATATTTTAATATATAAGGATAATTGTAAAAAAAAAAGCATTTGTAAAAAATAAGATTAAAATATATATATATATATATATATATATATATATATATATATATATATATATATATATATATATATATATATATATATATATATATATATACCGTGGGCTCCTCCAGCGCTTGATTATTTTATTATGGTCGCCGTTTATTGTTGTATTTTTATACTATGTTTTTAATGTTATATATATATATATATATATACATATATATATATATATATATATATATATATATATATATATATATATATATATATATATATATATATATATATATATATATATATATATATATATATATATAACATTAAAAACATAGTATAAAAATACAACAATAAACAGCGACCATGTCACAACAAAATAAAAAATCAAAGCGCTCAGGCCCTGGAGGAGGCCACCACAGGGTCATTGCCGGCCACTACTGGTGCCACTTCGTCTCGCCCACCTACCTCACAAAAATCCACACAATCTCTAAGGAGAAAAGTATTCGCCAAAGTTTCAATGGCTAGATCTTCAGTAAGCGAAGATTCAGATTTATCTCTCACTAGCGTCGAAAAACCTCCAGCGATAGATGCAAAGATCGCTGCCTGGCCTCAGGTAGAGATCCCCCCTCGTCCAATCATCTCAGACGAGGACTCATCCGCATCAGAATCCTTTACGTCTGAACCAAAACACCTAAGCATAATACGAACAACGGCGAGACATGGAGAAGTCGAAATGGACTTGGCTACTAAACTGGCCAACGAGATGTTACAGAAGGGCAAGGAGGCGCTGGAGACAGCGGGTAATATGAAAAAGGGAGTGCAAAACAACGGCACTCGAATGCCTTCAGAGTCTATATGAGACGGTACTCGCCCTCTCGGACTCGAGATCTAGGCACAAGTACAATTTGGAGAAGGAAAAATCTAGGCATGCCCAAGAACTTATCAGAATGGAGCGAGCCCACACAAAAAAGATAGCAGAAATAACAGCTAACCTTTCCACGGAAATAGGGAACGCCCGCAATGATATCTCGGAGGCCAAGGACTGAGATGGCGCTACTAGCCACGTAAACAAGTGCTCCACGCATTAAAATAATTATAAATAGTTTTATTTCGTAATAAATCGTAGTTTATAGTAAAATAGGAAGTTGAAGTGCCAATTCGGGTGTACAAGTGTTGTCTAAGCTAAATATCAAGAAGAAGTGACTTTAAAATGTTTCATTAACTCGGCGCTTAAAGACATAAACAAAACTAAAAATAACTTAAAATTTGAGTGATCAATATCAAATACGTCTTTAAAATAGTGAATGTAAGCATCAGAACTAAGCAATGTATAAATTATTGCTAGAATAGTGACGTTTTGTGAAAATAATCGTGAATGTTAAATTGTCAACAAAATTTCAAATTGAAGTTAATTAACGGTCATTAAAGAAAACGTAGGATCTATTTCTTAATTTCAACAAGTCACATAATAACACCGTGGCGTAGAGGCATCGCTTGTTTACTACAAATTATCGCAGACGGGTAACCTCAAGTTCAAACCCGATACGGTATAGTTATTTTGGTACATGTTTCCTTCAATTTAGCAATACCCATGTAGAGAAAAAACACATAGTAGTGATTTGACTAAAATACTTTACATACAAATTGTTGACAGTTAACGATAGGGGGTGTTAGTATCTTGCCATTGCCGAATCTTCGAATATTATATCAATAATACGTTATCAAGGAATTAGAATGGCAGATGAAAATGTTACAATACGTCGTCAAAAAACATTGTTGAACGAATCATTTGATTTCTCATTTGAATCTACAAATTCAGAAATTAGAAGACATAGTTTACCGGACCTATCTACTGGATATGATAGTGACAAAAAAGACCTTAAGAAAGAATTATTACTACTTAGAAACGAACTCGAAAGCGCACATTTAGAAATAGTAAAACTAAGCGAAGAGAACTTGTCGTTAAAAGACGCTCTAAATAAACAAAAATTACAAATATATCATAGAATTTGTCCAGAACCCAGGACGAGAGCGGTAACGTCAAGGAAGAGGATGTCAAGAAACTTGAGGCTGACATTAGATGACAAAAACAACACGAGTTTGATTGATCTTGGGCAGAATACGTTAACCAGCGATCCGCCAATAGATGGCGCCACCAGTCCATTAAACGATACTCTACGGGAGAATGTAAATTGTGGCACATCTTCATATATAAAGCCCAAAGTGGTAAACAACATACTACAACCAGAGGTACCCACACACTCCCCATTTAATCCCGGTCAGATAGCAGTCAATCGTCTAAGTCAAAAGCTTTGTATTATTAGTAGTAACAAAGTAAATAATATTCTCACCTTGGCGCTGAATACGTTTCCTAATTATGATGTATGCCATTATATTTCGACAAACTGTGGAATTAAACAGCTACTCGATAATATTAACACCAAGCTTGTCAACTTCAATAAACAGGACTACTGTTTGATTTTTTATAGAACATGACTTTGAGACAACTGCAAATTATTATGATCTAGTTATAAGTATACGCGAAACATTAATGTCAATTAGCTACACTAACCTAGTACTGTGTTTGCCTACCTATAAATTCAATCGTTATAAGAACATTTTTAACTCAAGAGTTGAGACTTTTAATACCTTATTATACCAAGATATATGTAAATATAATTATGCAATATTCTTTGATTCCAATTTAAATCTAAAATATGACAACACAATGTTTTATAAGCAAAGTGGAGTACTAAATAGACATGGCATGAAAAACATCTTTAATACTTTAAAGCAATATATTTTCCAAAACTCCAAAAGTCTTTCCGCAACGATCTTGCCATCTAAGCTTAAACCTCGTAAAGGCACAATACCCTTTTTATTTCGCAGCAGTCACAAATAATAATCATTCTGTAAATATTTCATCGGTATTAACTAATAAGGACAAAGAGCAGTTTTTTCGTAAGTAAGCGCACAAATAACTCATTGTGCAGTATTATGCACCAAAATATCGCAGGTGCACTAAGTAAAATGGACGATCTAGAATTAGCCCTCAACGAACTACATGAATCAAATAAACGTGTTATCGCCGTATGTCTCACTGAACATTTTATAATTAAAGGTGAGGAGCAATTTTTAGCACTAAGTAATTTTCATGTGTCAACCATTTTTTCTAGGCAGTTGCAACGGAGAGGGGGTTCTTGTATTTTATTACGAAATGACTTCAAAGGCGTGCAATTGCATGAGATTAATGAACTATGTATTGAAAAACATTTTGAAATTTGTGGCCTAGAAATTCCACAAATAAAACTAATTATTATATGTATTTATAGAACTCCTAATTCCAATATAAATGTATTTTTTCACAAAATGAATGAAGCGCTATCTAAACTACGCCACAAACACAAACAACGTAAATTAATTATTTGCGGCGATTTTAATATTGATATACTGGTTCAAAATAGCGTAAGTACTCAGTTCCTAGAACTTATATCCAATTTCGGACTCCAGTGTCATATTCAGGAACCAACACGAATTGATAAATGTATCGACAACATCCTTAGTAATATTTCAACTGCGGTAGGTAGGACGCACAACTTCTGTCTCTCAGATCACGACACAGCTCAAACAATTGAATTTGAAACCAAACAATTAGAAAAAATATCTAAACATTACTTCACAACTACGCGTGACTACAGCAAAAATAACCTAAGTAAATTTGTAGAGTGCATTAGCTGTATAACTTTTTCTGAAATATTCAATAGATTAAATACCAATGAGGCTTTTAATGAATTTCACGAAGAATTAACATTATTCTTTAAACTTTGCTTTCCCATAATAAGACGGAAAAATAGTTTTAGAGCCGGCGGAATATCTTGGATAACGAAAGGTCTTAAAATTAGTTGCAGAACCAAAAGAACACTAAGATACAACTACTACTTAAATAGAAGCGATAATAATAAATTGGCGTATATAAATTATTCCAAATTGTTAAGGAAACGTATAAAAAGCACGCAATCGCTTTGTAACCAAAGGTACATAACCAACTCTCGTAATAAAGGTAAAGCAACTTGGGACGTAGTCAAACGATATGTTGACGGTACTGTTCCTAGGACTGGACCATTCGTAGATCATATTGTCGACAATGGAAGTACATTTACATGTGGATCTGACATAGCAAACATATTTAATAATTTTTTCATTGATGTAGTTCAAAACTCTACTAGTTCTGCTTCTGCCAATAATGAAGTTAAGTATCCTACATCAAATTTTAAAAGAAACGATTTCAGTATTTTTATAAAACCCACGGATCCTAATGAAGTTTTTTACACAATAATCTCATTGAAAAATTCAAAGTCGGCAGGGTATGACGAAATTAATTCCGACTTATTGAAACGTATTGCTCTATTTATATCGGAACCTTTGGCTCACATTATAAATCTATCGTTCGAACAAGGATGTTTTCCAGACAAACTTAAGTTGTCGATAATAAAGCCGCTACATAAGAAAGGGTCAAAATCTGACAAAAATAATTATAGGCCTATTGCTTTAACTCCAGTCCCATCTAAAATCTTTGAAAAAATTATGCTCAAAAGAATAGTAAGCTTCCTAGATAAATATGACATTTTGGCACCGGAACAATTTGGTTTTAGGAAATACCGATCAATGCAATTAACTACCTTCACCCTAATAAACAGCATCGTTAATAATATCAACCATAAAATCCCAACATTAGCTCTACTTTTAGACCTCAGCAAAGCATTCGATTTTGTTGATCATTCAATACTCATCTCGAAACTTGAGAAATGTGGAATAAGGGGATCTTCATTGTTATGGTTTCAGTCATATTTAAAAAACAGGAAACAATTCGCTAGGATTACAAAATTTGATACTAAAACAAATATTATAGTTAAGTTTGAGTCGAAACAAAGGATTAATTGTACCGGGGTGCCACAAGGTAGCATCTTAGGGCCCCTTTTATTTCTTATTTACGTGAATGACCTTCCACGTGCACTCACACATGATTGTGTCTTGTTTGCAGACGATACGACTATCATTATGGGCTGTAAAAATATAGATACCTATTAGACGGAAATATATAAAACGTTAGAAGATGTTATCCAATGGTTAAACATAAACAAATTAAAAATAAACATTGATAAAACGAAAATAATTAACTTCAAAACTTATAAGAGTAAAAACATGGAATTGAATATTACTTACAATAATTCAGTTATACAACAAATAAACACCGCAAAATTCTTAGGCATTATTCTCGATACACATCTTTCATGGAAAGAACATATTAATAATTTATGCATAAAAATAAATAAGTTTGTTTTTGCACTTCGAAAGGTAAAAGACGTGACAAGCAGACATACCTCTATTATGGTATATCACGCTTACATTTGCTCCATTATACGATATGGCATAGTTGTGTGGGGAAATTCCTGCCACATCACGAGGGTGTTTAAAGCACAGAAAAAATGCATAAGGGCACTGTACGGCATGGATTGGTCGGAATCATGTAAACCGACTTTTAAATCAAATAATCTACTAACTGTTCCCTGCATATACATCTACGAAACAGCTAAATTTGTTAAATACCACAGTCATCTCTTCACCGCTAACGACAATACATTTAAACGAAAAATTAACCACGTGCCATTAAAAATGCCTGCGCCTAAGCTAGAACTGTTTAAAAAAAACTGTGCTTATATGGCACCTCTAATATATAACTCTTTGCCCAAAGGAATTACTGACCTGCCATATAAAAGGTTCTGTTGTGCCTTGCGAAAATGGTTAATCCAGGAGAGTTTCTATACTATTAAAGACTTTTTGAATAATAGCACTTGCCGATTTGGTGCCCACTAAGATATCAGATCTTTCTTTTTATTTCTTGTATCTTAGTCTATTATAATAATTCAATAACTTATATAATTGTAATCATGTAATTCAAATAACTGAATTTTAAAAGATTGTTATAATTGCAATTAAAATATTTCTTATGAATTGTTATTCAAACAGTTCTAATAATTGTAATTTTATTCAAATAATTGTTGTAAATTTACTATGATTTTGCATGCCCGTAATGAGGGTGAAATATGTCCTTTATAATATAATATAAAATAAGTTACTTTAACATCTTGTGTACCAACCATATTTCTTGCAAATAAATGATTTATGATTACGATTATGATTAAGGATATGGCTAGGTCAATTCGAGAATGGCTGGGATACGAGACCAGAGAACCTCACAGGATCATTGGAGAAATAGGAAATTCTATAAAGACTTTAGACAAAAAATTGCAGGATCTTTCCGACAGCTTCACCAGTCAAATTATTAAAATATCGGAAAAGAGAGCACCGGAGAAACGACAAAACCTTCTAAAGACTTTAGAAATTGTCACAAGGCAGCTGGACGAACACCGGCGAGAACTCAAAGAAATCAAAGACCAAACAACGCTCGTCCAAAATAGCAGTACAAAAGCCATAGAAATTCTAACCACACAGTCTCCACCCCAATATGAATGCAACGACAAACGGCAGTGGGATGATATAAAGACTGATATTTTGCAGGAAATTAAAAATATAAAATACACACAAACGCAAGATACATTTGACAACACCCCCAGCTCCTTAACATTAAACCTTAGTGAACATCTACAGCCCCTCACCGAACGTCTGGAAGCAGTTTCGTCGGAACTAAAAACCATACGTGAACTTCGGCAGAAAACGCCACCACCAGCGATAAGCCTTAGTACGGAGCTTGCGCTGGCAGAGATGGCCAAGAGTACCAAATCAATTTCGACATATGCTCAAAAAGTGAAAGAAAAGCCTGTATTGAGGCCCAACCACACCTTGATCGTTTCGTCGACGGATCCCAACAAAACAGGTGAGAATGTCATTGAAACGATCAGGGAAGCACTTGATATAAAGAAGACTGGAGCAAGAGTAGAAAAGATAAGGAAAGCAAGGAACCGAAAGGTTGTTTTAAGCTGTGGCACTAAAGAAGATCTGGACCTGATAAGAAGTCAGGTTAAGAAAAATGAAACACTCAAGGCAGAGACTCCAAAAATGAGTAATCCACTTATAAAAATAAAAGACGTATTATCATATCATACTGATGCCGAGATCGTGGAACAGCTGCGAGCACAGAATAAGCATCTGTTCCAGGATCTCAAGGCGACTGAAAACGTCATGAGGGTTCGGTACAGGAAAAGGGCGAGAAACACGCACGAATGTCACCCAATCATAGAACTCTCTCCAACACTGCACCGGCGTTTCTTAGAAGCCGAAAAAAATCTATATAGGCCTACAAAGAAGACCGGTAGAAGACCAATCCCCCTTGGTGCAGTGCACAAAATGTCTGGGCTTCGGTCACACCAAAAACATCTGCCAGGAAAAAGAAAATCTCTGCAGCTATTGTGGAGAAAACCACCCCTGGGAAAAATGCACAAACAGATTAGAGGGAAAGGCTCCTAACTGCAAGAACTGTTTGAGGGCACATGGCAAAAACTCAGTTTCCCCACACAATGCATTTAGCAATGAGTGTCCTGAGAGGCAAAAATGGGATAGCATAGCGCGGTCACGTATTTCATACTGCTAAGGGCAGCCAAGATGACAGAAGCTCACATTTCCCAAAGACAGACACTCACAGCATGCACATCATTCAAGCAAACCTACAAAGATCAAAACTAGCGACAACAGAATTACTACAGGGAGCAAAGGAAAGGGGAGTTTCAATAGCCCTCGTACAAGAACCATACGTGGGCAAAAGTGGTGAAATGAAGTTGACCACCGGTACAAAAATCATCCAGTGCACCCTTAAGCGCCAAAAATCCGTGAAAGCGGCAATCATCATTTTCGATGACAGATTGGGGGTCATACATAACCCGCAATTGGTGACTGAAACAGAGGTGGCGGTTCTCCTGAGGGCAGGAAAGATGAGATTAGGAATAGTGTCTGTCTACTACGAAGGAGACCAAGACATAGAGCCTACTTGGTACGCACAAAAGTGGCTTGCGAGAAACTCCAAACCGAAAACCTTCTGGTCGGTGGGGATGTCAACGCTTGGAGCCACTAGTGGGGAAGCAGCCATGAAGACCAAAGAGGTGCAGCTTACAACGCCTTCCTAAACGAAATAGAGCTCCACATTCTCAACACCGGAGACGCACCAATATTCGAGACGTATAGGGGAAACAAAAAATACACAAGCGTTGTTGATGTCACAGCGTGCAGCTTGTCGCTACTAGGAAGAATAGACGGCTGGAGTGTGGATCGGGGACTCACAACATCAGACCATAATGCCATCACTTTTACTCTGCACTTAGACGAGCAACTAACATCATTCGAGTCTAATACCACGCGCAAATACAACACCAAGAAGGCGAACTGGCAGGAATTTAAAACAAATTTAAAAATCTCCCTAGCGGGAAAAAATATAACACCTGAAACCATGGACCAATTTACACTCAAGAGGAACTGGAAACCAAGATTACCGTCTATACAGAAGCCATCTTGGATGCTTGTGATAAATCTATTCCAAAAAAAAGGCGTATGGAAGGCAAAAAGCAGGCCTCCTTGGTGGTCCAAAACCTTAGAAAACCTAAAAAGAGACGTCCTGCGAAAGAAAAGGCGAATAAGAAACGCCGCTCCCATTAGAATGGCATCCGTTATAAAAGACTACTGTACAGCTAAACAGGAATATGTAGAAAAAAACCATTGAAGCACAAACAAGTAGCTGGAAAGAGTTCTGCTCAATGCAAGAAAAGGAAAGCCTGTGGGATGGAAAAAAACTACCAGACGACAAGAAGATATGTTACTGAGAAGTGTCGAAGGTGACACCCTTAATCCGGAGGAATCGGCTAAGCTTTTGGCAAGCACTTTTTATCCAGAAGACTCTGTTGCGACTGACAAGTCCTACCACATAAAAATCCGAAGACTGGTACAAGACAAAAAACCGGAGGACATAGAAGACCTCTCTGAGGAAGATCCAGCTTTCACCCTGGCCGAACTGGAGACAGTGTTGAAAGCATTAAACCCAAAGAAAGCTCCAGCCCAAGATGGCTTAACTTCAGATATTTGCACTGTAACCATCCAAAGCGAAAAGGAGGTATTCTTGGCGTTGGCAAATAAATGCCTGTCGTTAGCATACTTTCCCAAGCAATGGAAAAAGGCACACGTTATAATTCTCCGTAAGCCGGGCAAAGAGGACTACACTCACCCAAAGTCCTACAGGCCGATAGGTTTACTACCAGTCCTGGGGAAAATAGTCGAAAAACTTATAGTGGGTCGATTGCAATGGTACATCTTACCCAAGTTAAATCCGAACCAATATGGCTTCATGCCACAGCGCGGAACCGAAGATGCCCTCTACGACTTAATGGACCATATAAGGTCAGAACTCCACAACAAGAAGATGGTGCTTATCATCTCTTTGGATATAGAGGGAGCATTCGACAACGCATGGTGACCAGCACTCAAGCACCAGCTCATAAAAAAGAAGTGCCCAAGGAACATCTACGCAATGATAAACTCATACCTTAGTGACCGTAAGATCGTAGTTAACTATGCCAGAACAACATGTGAGAGGGACACCACAAAAGGTTGTGTACAAGGGTCAATCGCAGGACCGACCTTTTGGAACATCATTTTAGATCCCTTGTTACAAAAACTCACAGAGGAAGGAGTATATTGCCAGGCATTTGCAGACGACGGAATCCTTGTATTCTCCGATCACAAGGTCAGTACTATGGAGGAATCAGCCAATGCAGTTCTAAAGAAAGTAGTAAAATGGGGGAGAGGGAAACAAATTAACTTTCGCAGCACACAAGACTAACGCGATGCTTATAACTAAGAAACTTAAATTCAATCCCCCAGAAATCTACATGTCAGAACGCAAACTGCAACTGGTTGATCAGATAAAACTCCTGGGAATTATAATAGACCGAAAAATAACATTCAAACCACATGCTACCGCTGTCTGTAAAAAAGCTGCGGAAATTTATAAACAGCTAGCGTGCGCCGCAAAAGTAACGTGGGGCCCAAATGGAGAAATAACAAGGACAATATATGTTGCGGTCATAGAGCCGATTGTGCTGTACGCTTCTAGCGTATGGGCTCCAGTGACAGAACTGCAAATGATTCGCGATCAACTGCATAATCTTCAAAGAGGATTTGCACAAAAAATCTGTAGGGCGTATCGCACAGTATCGCTCACGGCGTCACTGGTACTCTCAGGTCTATTACCATTGGACCTGAGAGTCCAGGAAGCTGCATGTCTGTACAAAACAAAAAAAAGGTATTACATTAGACTATTTACCACCTGGAATGAGATTGGAGAAAAAGGTGAGCTATTTGGATCTTCCACACCCTTCTAAACTCATAACAACAGAGTACGAGCTCCTTGAGGGCGCGGATCTTGAATCTTTGAATTCCCGCCAGGTTACCGGCCCCCATATATATACAGATGGCAGCAAGATAGAGGGACAAGTCGGAGCTGCTATAACTTGGTGGGAGAAAGATAAGGAAATCCATTACTCTACTTTTAGCTTAGCCCCTTCGTGCACCGTGTTTCAATCAGAACTTTATGCACTTTACAGGGCCGTTCAATTGGCAAGGAATAGCAAAGAAAAGACAGTAAACATTATGAGCGATTCTAGGTCCTCACTCAACCTGTTAGGAAAACCTAAATTGATCCATCCTCTGACAAAGCATATAAAAGAGTGTATAGAAGACATCCGGTCACAGGGGGAGACGAGTGCGGTTTTTCTGGCTACGAGCGCACGTGGGGACTGCCGGAAACGAACGCGCCGATGAGCTAGCAAAGATGGCAGCCCAACAAGCCACTATAACCCCAGACTACGCAGAAGTCCCGTTGTTTTATGTCAAAAGAAAGATCAGAGAAGAGTCTGTACGGAAATGGCAGGATAGGTACAACTCCTCCTGTACAGGGCAAGTCACTAAAACGTTCTTCCCCGATGTAGAAAAAAGCTTATCGCATCGTGAGGAAAGCAAAACTGACACCCTACCAAGTGCAAATCATGACAGGACACGGTGGAATAGCTGAGTACTTACATCGGTTCAAGTTGAAAAACAGTCCCGGCTGTGAGTGCAACCCCAACATCAGGGGAGTCTGTTTGGCACATCATCCTGGACTGCCCACGATTCCAGATGGCCAGAATAGATCTTGAGTTTAAACTAGATATAAAAATAAATAAAGAAGTATTACACAATATCTTGGATGACGCTGATAAAAGACCGCACTTCTTAAAGTTTGCAGAGTATACAATCCGTTTAGCTGCTAAAAGAAACAGTACTCTTTCTTCTGAATTAACACAGCAAACGATGAATTTAAGTAATATAATAACACAAACCACAGAAATAGAATACAGAAGTACAATTAATCAGCCAGCAAATAAACTACTAGAATATGCTGAACTAGGCAACCCAGGTATTAGACTCAAAACGGTAGCCATGTTTATGGACGACTCCTCCGAAAGACTGGGTATTTGCTTCTGCAATGCGATGGCTCCAAGTAGAATAATCATCTCACCTGGCCTCGCCATACTCCTGAAAGGCAGCACCTTCAAAACGAACATAAAACGTAAGAGGTATGAGGCGCTACAGAAGATAACAGTAGCAAACAATCACTGCCGAATAGTGCGTATGCGGAACAAAACCATTGCACTATTCGAAAAAGGTGACGACATCACCGAGTTCGCTCAGGCATGCTCAATGCTAGCTGTGCTTACGGAGGCAAGTGAGGCTAAAGAAGTATCACCAAAAATAATAAGCGTAGATGCTATGGTGGTAGAATACGAGAAAGGGAAGGTAGAAGACTACATGGGAGTATTAAAAGCCTCAGAATATCATGAGGTGGTGGTATACGAAGACAGAGGTGAAGACCTCAGTTTTATGAAACTATTCAGACCCAACGAACCTTCACGCTCGTACCCCAATGACAGCAAAGAACACCCTGAAATACGCCCAGAAGAAATATTAAGTGGATCCGAACGCTTGCAACAAAAAATGGACGCCAAAAGGAGAAAAGAAAAAGCGAACACGAATAATCCCAGCCGGAACAATAGACAAAGTAGCAGCAGTCGCAAGCACCTTCGATCAAGTCATTGCTGCAATCCCTGCAGTAATCCCGAAGAAAAAGGAATATCTGCGGTCAACAGAGAAGATAGTTGCTGCTGTTAAGAGCGCCGCAAAGTATTTTCCCAAAGGTCAGACAAGAAAATCTCCATGCACATGGACGAAAGCAGACATGGGACAAGTCACTCTGCCGAGTCTCAGGGAGGTATCGGAGCCCCTGGACCACTGGATAAATGCATTCCTCGAGTTTAAAGCTATCGTAAAAGCTACCAGAGAGGTTAACATCATGACCTGTAAGAGCATCTTGGAATCTTTTCATCGAGGCTGTGAAGATCAGCTTGAGGTGAAACTCGAGGAATCCGAGGCTGCTGTGTACAACAACGACACAGCTGAAGTAATTAAAGGGAAAGTGTCGGGATTGTACATGGCGGCATACAAAGCAACGGTTGGTTTTGTGGCTTTGGACGGGACTGAGACAGAACGGTCGGGCCAACTTGTCTTTCGAACACCTCCTCAGGACCCCATAGTTGTAACAGCAAAGTGTACAAGAGTAATGCTCGAGGATGAGATCTTGGACAGGCTCAAGGCTGTGTCCATGACTTTGGAGAAGGGCGGCTCTCTTGGGCATTGGCAGTTGCCAAAAATAACATGGGTCAATGGCGTACCCGGGTGTGGAAAAACATCCTGGGTTATTAACAACTTCGCGGAGGAAAATGATATCATAATCACTACAACAACTGCAGCTGCAACTGACTTGAGGGAGAGGCTAGCATCATGTGTAGAAGCTGACGCAGCAAGGAAGGTGCGGACTATGGCCTCAATCTTGGTAAATGGCATAAGGGCGTCTGAGAAATACTCTCGTCTTTTAATTGACGAAGCGCTCATGAACCATTTTGGGGCTATAGTAACGGCAGTACAAATCACGGGTGCAAGCGAGATTTTCATTGTAGGGGACAACAACCAACTACCATATATCGACAGGCATGATTTGTTCCGACTACACTACACTCGTCCAAATCTCGTGGCTAATATCAACCAAGAATGGCTCTGCACGCACAGAAACCCACTGGATGTAGCATATGCACTAAACGAAATCTATGATGGCATATACTCATGCAATACTAGGTTGCGATCTCTAGAGCTAAAGAGGTACATGGGTTCACAGATCCCAAAATCCCTTGAAAATACTTTATACTTGGGACACACCCAGGCTGAAAAGGAAAATCTCATCAGCCAGGGCTACGGAAAAGGGAAGGGATCGCGAACTCTAACCATACATGAAGCTCAGGGGCTCGTGAGCGAGACGGTGGTAATCGTGCGATCTAATAGAGAGAAACAACGCCTATATAACAGCATTCCTCATGCAGTGGTGGCAATCTCGCGCCATACGAGCCATTGCATCTACTACACCGATTAGTGTGAGGAAGATGCAATTGCCTGTTTAATTTTGCGCACCGAGGCTGCCACCACAAGCAGAATTAGGGATTACAACATGAAAATGGCAATACATCATCGAGACTTAAAGGTTGCAAGAAACATTATGAACGTGGTCCGAGACGAAGTGGCATAAACAACAATCAAACGGATGTTAAATGAAATAACCGCAACAATTTTACTTACTATTAAAATTGTAAAATTTTTTGTAAATTATAGTTATGTTAGTTATAAATTAAGTATTGAGTATAAGATGCTTAATATCCATAGTTTAAGATGCATGAAAAAAAAGGGAAAAAAAAAGGTCTGGCAAAAAAAAATTTATGAATTAGCTATAAGTTAGTTATAAGTATGTAGACAAAAGTTTCAAACCATAACTAACCATAGTTTAAGATGCATGAAAAAAAAAGAAGAAAAAAAAACAAACCAAAAAAAAATAAGAAAAAGAAAAAAAAAAATAGAGGCAAAAAAAACAAAAAAAAAAATTACACTAACCGTTAGATATAAGGCATGATATTATAGTAATCTATGTTAATGAAAAAATGTATATTCAAAAAACGCAGAGAGATGTTATAGCTTAGAAACTACATATGTAATGTCATAACAATTCTAAAAAAAAATGTAACAAAGGGCACGGACTACGAGTCTGTAGAGTAAAAAAAAAAAAAACCTAACCTAACCTAACCTAACCTAACCTAACCTAACCTAACCTAACCCAGAGTACACATCTGAAAGTGACATATTCAACATAAGCTCCACGGAGAAATTGCTTAAAAAAATAGCAATTTTTGAGCTACGCGAGTGGAAGTGCTGTGAAAAAGTTTTTGAGTGTGCATTTCATCAGTGTAATTGGGGAGAACTCTGTGCATTGGATGGTTTAGGAGCAGTAGCCTCTTAACTTTGGGGATAAATAGTGTCGACACCATCAGCAAAATTGCCAAGTACTCATCAGTACTTGAGAGCCGCTATAGAGATCAGTAAAACGGCGAAAGAATCAAGAAAATCGGCCCACAAACACAGAAGTTATTGACTCCTTAAAATTAACAACTTAACCTCAAACCACGTGGTTGCAACGTGCTTTCAGACGTTGAGGTTAAAGCGAGTCAGTGAACACGAGGCGTCCGGCGACGGTGCAGACTTCAGTGGAGCCTTCGAAGACGGACCGAGGAATCCCTCAAGCATACAATCGCCGCAGCTGGAGACACTTTCAACGGCCATCAGGTAAACCCCGAGGGAACTCCTAGACCCCTTACTCCTGACCACCCGAGTTTGGACTCATTTGAGTCAGTTTCTCAAGACCCCACCACACATATCACCTCCCCCCCCATATAAAAACCCCTATCCTTGAACCCCCCCCCCCCACCTTTAACACCCTCTTTCACCCTTCCTACCCTCCTAACCCCTACAATCTTTAATTTTATACCAGATATACGCTCCTTACGAATTCCCCCCCAACCCCCCCACCCCCCAACTACCTACGCCCCCTCATTTTTTATTATACCATATATAAGCTTCCCGCGAACTTCCCCCCCCCTCCCCCCTCGCCCCTCGAGGCTTACCTCTCCCCCCGCGAGCCATAACTAGTTTACCAGAGGAGCTAGACCCCCCGTGTAAGGGCTCATTTGAATCAGGAAAAAAGAGCTCTACCTTCTGGCCCCTACAGAATTTTGATTTTTCACCATAGTCCGATACCAACCCGGACAATAACACCTCAAGCATACTCCAGGACTCACAGCATACCAACCGGAGATCCCACAACGGGCTCTTTCTTCGCGTCCATCGTACTCTTCACTGCAATTCAACCATCGAAGAACACCAGCAGTGAGTTCACAAAAAAAAAATATAATAAATATCATCAAATATTAAAAAATATATAATACTTGTATAATATTTTATAAGGCATTACCTATATTTATAGCTACTAAGGCAACTTACAATTAGAGAATCTTTTAATTTTTGTAATTATGTCAGGAAATAAAGTAATCATGTCGGATGTGGAGACCGCTTCTTCAATCAAGTCCTCCCAAAACCTTTCTGTTGCTCCACCTAGACCTCCACGATCGCTGCGGGAAAAAGTACTTACAAAATCCAGTTTATCAAAAGCAACACCTAGCGAGAAGTTGTCGCAGCCATCATCTCATCCCGCAACAGGAAAACGTCCAGCGGACTCTGCTCCGACAGACGCATCTACAACAAGAAAAAATGCCTCTTCGCACACCCCCACTCTGGGAACTAAAATGTCGCAAACTTCAGTTAAAAGCGACAGCTCGATCCGATCCTCCGTTTGTGACCCGGTAGATGCGGCTATCGACAAAGTAGCTAACTGGAAGCAGGAAGAAATTCCTCCACTTCCAGTTTTATCCGACGAAGAACTTTCGATCACATCTGCGCCGGAATCACCACTATCGGAGGCACCGGAAAAAGGAAGACCCAGCCTGCTTTTTAACTCCAACAGGCGACTGGGGGTGGAAATGGATATGGCAACAAAAGAAGCGAACGAAATGCTTCTGAGAGGGAAGGAAGCGCTAGAAATGGCAGGGAATATGAAGAGGGAGTGTAAGTTAACAGCTTTAGAGAGTCTGCAGTCCCTCTACGAGATGGTCCTGGCGCTGTCAGATTCCAGATCTAGACATAAGCATAATCTAGAAAGGGAACGCTCACGCAACGCTCAAGAACTAATGCGAGTGGAGCGCGCCCATAACAAGATCATCACCCAGCTTATGAAGGAAATGGCTTCCGAACTAGGCCATGCCAGGACAGATATAAAAAATACCCTCCAGGAATCCAAGGCGATACGGGGTTGGTTGAACTTCGAAACCCAAGAGCCCTTCCGCAAAACGAGCGACCTACTCAAAGCTGTGACGGACTTAGACAAGCGCATAGGTGTGATTCAGTCGAACTTGAGTCAGCAGAAGCAAGAAGGTGCAGACAACATTTTATCTCACCTAAGAGTGGACCTTACTGGAGTAAAATCTAGTGTGGAAACACTCAAACTTCAATTGGACGAAATGCGCAGAGTCATCGAAAAGTCCGAAAACAACACCAAGAAGGTTCTGGAGACCGGCCAAAAAACCCTGCTACGCCTGGAGTCACCACCATCCCACCCCTCAGAGGAAATAAGTAAAACGTTGGAACATGAGCTGAATGGAATGAAGAGTTCGCTGAAGGAGATAGATACAAGTATCAGATCTGGACTTTCAATCTTACCTTCAGCGGACTCCGGTAAAATATTCCAAACCAGCATAAGGGAACATCTTCAACCAATAGAAGAACACTTAGGTGCAATGTCATCCGAGCTGAGGACGATGAGAGAGCAGAAGCAACGGGCCCCATCACCTACAGCCCCAAGTCTAGCAACAGAGCTTGCACAAACTGGCGAAGCAGCAACAAAGCCAAAAAAGACATACGCCAGAGTGGCTGCAAGCCCTCCCCTTCCTAAACCCAATCACACTCTCATTATCACATCAACTGATTCGAAAAACACAGCCGAAAATATCATCGAGAGAATCAGGGAGGCTCTAGACACAAAAAAGACTGGAGCCAAAGTAGATAGGGTAAGGAAGGCGAAAAACCAAAAAGTCATTCTCAGTTGCAACACCAAGGAGGATCTTAACCTTGTCCAAAATAGAGTTAAGACAAATAAAAGTTTAAAAGTAGAGGTTGCCAGAACAAACAATCCCTTGGCGATAATCAGGGACGTGCTATCGTATCACACAGACGTCGAAATCGTGGAAAATATACTGGCGCAGAACAAACACCTTCTGCATGACGTCGATGAGAAAGAACGAACAGTCAGAGTTCGATACAGGAAAAAGGCGAGGAATCCACAAGAGTGCCATCCTGTACTTGAGCTCTCTCCAAAAGTGCACAGGCGCTTCATTGATGCGGGTAAAATTTACATCGGCCTCCAAAGAAGACCAATAATGGATCACTCTCCCCTTGTGCAATGCACAAAATGCCTCGGTTTTGGCCACACAAAAGCAGTGTGCCATGAAAAGGAGGAACTCTGCAGTCACTGCGGAGAGACCCATTCATGGGACAAATGCCCGATCAGACTGGAGGGGAGACCCCCCCCGATGTAAAAATTGCCTCAAAGCGCACGGTGCCGATACGGACCTGGCACACAATGCTTTTAGCTTTGATTGCCGGGAAAAGCAGAAGTGGGATGCAATAGCACGGTCCCGCATATCTTACTGCTAAGGGCAACCAAAATAATATAAACTCCAACATTAGTAGGTCAGACCTCAAAATCATTCAGGTGAACTTGCAACGCTCCAGGGTAGCAACGGCGGAACTACTTCAGGTTGCATCGAATAAAGGAGTGTCGATTGCCATAGTACAGGAACCCTATGTGGGAAAAAATGGCGTTATTAAAGAACATCCTGGCACGCGAGTAGTTCAATGCAGCCTGAATAGACAAAAAACCGGTAAAGGCCGAAATGCTGATCTTCGGAGATCAGCTGGAGATTATCCATGATCCACAGCTGGTTACCGAAACAGAAGCGGCAGTACTTCTCGTTGCAGGAAATTTAAAACTGGGAGTCGTGTCAGTTTACCTCGAGGGAGAGCAAGATATAAATCCCTACCTTAGGCGAATCCAAGCAGCTTGCGCAAAACTTCACACAAACAACATCATAGTGGCTGGAGACATAAATGCTTGGAGCCAATGGTGGGGAAGTAATTCCGAAGATGAAAGAGGCGCGGCATATAACACCTTCCTCAATGAAATGGATCTCCATATTCTGAACACGGGTGACACGCCTACCTTCGAAACATACAGAAGGGGGAGAATTTGTTCGAGCATAGTAGACGTCACTGCTTGCAGTTCGTCACTTCTCGGCAATGTGGAGGACTGGAGAGTGGAGAGAAGCCTAATTACATCAGACCACAACGCGATTATGTTTACACTGCGCACCAAAGCGGTCTTGACACAATTACGGCCCTGCACAACGCGCAAATACAACACCAGAAAGGCAAACTGGTCGGACTTCTCAACACGCTTTAGATCCCTTCTAAAAGAAAGAGCCATAACTCCCACACTAATTGAGGAGGCGGAAATCCATGACGATCTGGAATCCATCACAATAGCCTACACAAAAGCAATCCAGGAATCTTGTGATGAGACTATTCCGAAAATGGGCACGAGGGGGGTAAATGCAACTCCCCCATGGTGGTCAAAATCCCTCAACCAACTCAAAAAAGAAGTCCATAGGAAAAAAAGACGTATTAGAAATGCGGCACCAAGTCGAAGACAACACGTAATAGACGAATACATAAGTTTTAAACAACAATACACCATAAAAGTTGAGGAGGCGCAAACCGAAAGCTGGAAGGAATTCTGCACGACACAGGAAAGGGAGAGCATGTGGGATAAAATTTACAGAGTTATCCGGAAATCCTCAAGAAGATATGAGGACATGCTCCTAAGAAACATCCAAGGGGAAACTCTGACACCAAAAGAGTCGGCAGAACTCTTGGCCCAAACATTTTACCCTGACGACTGTGTGGAAACAGATCAGCCATACCACACCAAAATACGAGAGCTGACGGAAATTAACAAAGACCTAGGTTTGTCAGAAGATGACCCACCTTTTGCAGAAGCGGAGCTTGAATCAGTGTTACAAACACTAAACCCCAAAAAGGCCCCTGGACCAGACGGGCTAACAGCTGACATCTGCTCCGCTGCAATAAACTGCAACAGGAAGGTATTCTTAGCGATAGCCAACAAGTGCTTGAAATTGGCGTACTTTCCCAAGCAGTGGAAAACTGCACATGTGGTCATCATCCGTAAGCCAGGAAAGGATGACTATACACATCCAAAGTCATACCGACCAATAGGTCTCCTGTCAGTACTCGGAAAAATAGTCGAGAAGTTGATGGTGGGCCGACTCCAGTGGTACATCCTCCCAACCCTTAATAAAAACCAGTATGGATTCATGCCTCAACGTGGTACAGAGGACGCCCTCTATGATCTATTGAAATACATCAAAAACGAAGCGAGGAATAAGAAGATCGTCCTTGTTGTTTCATTAGATATAGAGGGAGCCTTTGACAACGCATGGTGGCCAGCATTAAAACTGCAACTAGCCAAAAAGAAATGTCCCAAAAACCTCTACGATATGGTTGGCTCTTACCTTCAAGATCGAAAAATCGTAATTAACTATGCCAGAGCAACGAGTGAGAGGGGAACTACGAAGGGCTGTGTTCAAGGATCTATCGGTGGACCAACCTTTTGGAATGTTATCCTAGACTCACTGCTGCACCAACTTACGAACGAAGGGGTGTATTGTCAGGCATTTGCAGATGACGTCGTCTTGGTGTTCTCGAATCACTCAACGAGTGCCCTGGAGCAACAGGCCAATGACACTCTAAAAAGAGTAAAGAAGTGGGGAACCCAGAACAAGCTAAAGTTTGCAGCGCATAAAATAAATGCAATGCTTGTCACTAAAAAACTTAAATTTGACCTCCCAAACCTGAAAATGTCCGGCAGCAGAATAAACCTCGTAGAGGAAATTAAAGTACTCGGTTTCATCATTGACCGTGGACTCACCTTTAAACCGCATGTAGCAGCCGTATGCAAAAAAAGCGGCTGACATATACAAACAGCTTGCATGCGCGGCCAAGGTGACCTGGGGTCTCAATGGTGAGATTGTAAGGACAATATACGTTGCGGTCGTCGAACCTATAGTGATGTACGCTTCGAGCGCGTGGTCCTCAGCAACAGAACTTCAGATGATCAAAGACCAACTAAACACGTTGCAAAGGGGCTTCGCGCAGAAGATCTGTAAAGCGTACCGCACGGTATCGCTCACTTCCGCGCTTGCCATCTCGGGTCTGCTTCCGTTAGACCTGAGAATAAAAGAAGCGTCCAGCTTGTACCAAACCAGGAAACAAGGCACACTGGACTATTTACCACCAGGAAGAGAGCTTGAAAACCGTGTAAATCACTTGGATCAACCTCATCCCTCTAAACTCGTCAAATTGGAATATGAGCTACTGGAAACAATCGGAAACACAAACCTCCACCAACTAACCGGCCCTCACATATACACCGATGGAAGTAAGATAGAAGGGAGGGTCGGAGCAGCTTTAACGTGGTGGGAAGATGGTAGGGAGATCAGTAGTTCCACCTTTAGACTGGATCCATCCTGTACAGTCTTCCAATCCGAGCTCTATGCCTTGCTCAGGGCGACCAAACTAGCTGAATCGAGCACTAAACCTGTTGTTAACATTATGAGTGACTCAAGATCTTCGCTCGATCTGCTGGCAAACCCTAAAGCAAGCCACCCCCTATCAAAGGCCATTCAAGAAAGCATAGGGAAGATGAGAAAAGAGGGAAGAGTGATACGGCTGTTTTGGTTGAGGGCTCATGTAGGCACGTCTGGAAATGAGAGAGCTGATGAGCTTGCTAAGGCGGCGGCACTCCGGGAGACAGCCACTCCAGACTACGACAAAATCCCCATGTCCTACGTTAAAAAGAAAATCAGAGAGGAAACCGTTCGAATCTGGCAGGACAGATACGAGACCTCGACCACTGGGCAAGTCACCAAAATATTCCTACCGGATGTTGCAATAGCATACCGGATAGTGAGAAAGACGAAGTTGACACCCACACAGGTACAAGTGTTAACAGGACATGGTGGAATTGCGGAATACTTCCACCGCTTTAAGCTTAAGGATACACCAGGGTGCGAGTGCGATCCCAATGTCAGTGAGTCAGTGTGGCATGTGATTCTGGAGTGTCCCCGCTATCAGGCGGCACGTCTGGATCTCGAGTTTTGCATAAACACCAATCTTGACAAGTCTGACCTACACAAAATCATCGAAGACGAAGAAAAAAGGCCCAAATTTCTGGCATTCGTGGAGTCCATCTTTCGCGCTGCTGCAAAGCGTAACGCCACGAACTATCCATTCCCCAGGCAGCAGCAAACTGTTGCGGAATTCGCAGAGGTCTCCGTAAAGGAGAAGAGCATCCCAGCCAATAAAGCAGACCATCAGCTATTTGCAGGCGCTGAAAGAGGTAACCCAGGCCTGAGAATTCGAGGAGTAGCTCTCTTCATGGATAACAACATACCCCGTCATACTCCGCATCATAAGTGTGGATGCCATGGTGGTCCTATATGAGAAAGGTGAAGTCATGGACCACTTTGGTTGTATAAAAGCCTCAAACAAATATGAAATAGTCGTGTATGAGGATAGGGGCGAAAACCTGAGCTTCCTCAAACATCACGACTCAACAAAGGCAACCCAACATCTTGTAGCAAATCCAGAGACACTTAGTGGCTCAGAACGCCTGCAACTGAAAACGGCCAAAGAAAAGGCCGCAACCAGGGAAAAACTTAGCAAAAGTTCTGAGTCACAAAGCGGGGTAAGTGCACTAATTAAAACCATCAGTGCAGCGGCCCAGAGCATTCCAGGAAGAGCAATGCGAAAGTTGAGCAAGTTAAGACAAGCCGATAACTTAATAAGAGAGCCTCCAAGAGTACTCAAGAAATCCAAACCCACCCACACTAGACCCTGTTCGGGACGTGTCAGCCCTCCAAGACTTCTACCA